GGGGGGAGCTGTGGGTGGGGACGCTATCCGTTTCGGGCTCGCAACGCGTGGCAGGCGTGGCACTTCCTCGGCGCCACAGGGGGATGGCCGTGGGTGGGAACGCTACCCGTTTCGGGCTCGACATCACAGGGGAGGAGCTGTGGGTGGGGACGCTATCCGTTTCGGGCTCGCAAAGCGTGGCGGGCGTGGCACTTCCACGACACCACAGGGGAGAGCTGTGGGTGGGGACGCTATCCGTTTCGGGCTCGCAAAGCGTGGCAGGCGTGGCACTTCCTCGACACCACAGGGGGGGAGCTGTGGGTGGGGCGCTATCCGTTTCGGGCTCGCAAAGCGTGGCAGGCGTGGCACTTCCTCGACACCACAGGGGGGGAACTGTGGGTGGGGACGCTATCCGTTTCGGGCTCGCAAAGCGTGGCAGGCGTGGCACTTCCTCGACACCACAGGGGGGGAGCTGTGGGTGGGGACGCTATCCGTTTCGGGCTCGCAAGCGTGGCAGGCGTGGCACTTCCTCGACACCACAGGGGGGAGCCGCTATCCGTTTCGGGCTCGCAGGCGTGGCAGGCGTGGCACTTCCACGACGCCACAGGGGGGAGCTGTGGGTGGGGACGCTATCCGTTTCGGGCTCGCAAAGCGTGGCAGGCGCGGCACTTCCTCGACACCACAGGAGGGGAGCTGTGGGTGGGGACGCTATCCGTTTCGGGCTCGCAAAGCGTGGCAGGCGTGGCACTTCCTCGACACCACAGGGGGGGGGCTGTGGGTGGGGACGCTATCCGTTTCGGGCTCGCAAAGCGTGGCAGGCGTGGCACTTCTTCGGTACCGCAGCGATTGCGCTGTGGGTGGTATCATTATCCGTGACGGGCTCGCAAAGCGTGGCAGGCGTGGTATCTCCTCGACACCACAGGGTGTGCGCCAGGGATTGTCTCCTTATCCGCTGCGAGCTCGCAAAGCGTGGCAGGCGTGGCACTTCCCCGACGCCACAGGGGATGCGCTGGGGTTGGTCTCCCTATCCTTGACGGGCTCGCAAAACGTGGCAGGCGTTGAACTTCATCGACACCGCAGGGGGTGCGCTGGGGTTGGTATCTTTATCCGTTGCGGGCTCGCAAAGCGTGGCAGGCGTGGCACTTCCTCGACACCACAGGGGGGGGGGGGGCGCTGGGGTCGGTCTCCCTATCCGTTGCGGGCTCGCAAAGCGTGGCAGGCGTGGCACTTCCTCGACACCACAGGGAGTGCGCTGGGGGTGGTCTCCCTGTCCGTTGCGGGCTCGCAAAGCGTGGCAAGCAATATGACGTTGGATGACACATAGGGAAACATTCGCGACGAGGGTTCAGAACGCAGGATTGCACATATATTAAAGACATAAGCAAGCACATCATATTTAAATTAAGTGTGTGGGGTCCTTCGGTAGCGTTTTTTTTTTGGTGTGGGGGCACCGTGTGCCGCTTTTCCGGGGTCCCCGCCCTTGTAAAAATATATAAATCGGAATATGTAATCTTATTTTTGTCTTTAAAATGTGTTGGAATAACAAATCAAAGCAAGCGACATTTCACTTTCACTATATCCATGTCAGTTGGTAGCGGAGCAAGTTGGCCCCGGCTCCAATGCCACGGCCGCCATTTCCCGCTTCGCCTCGATGGCCATGGGTTCTACCCTCCGTCGCTCTACATCGCGACGCCTGCGCGGAACGTCACTCGAGGGTGCGTCAAGGCCAGGCCAGCCCATCCGCAGGAACACTACATCGTCTACACCCCGCTCTACATCCGCCTTCAACGTCATCGCCTTCGTGTACCTCTTCCCGCTCACTGTGGCAGAAAGCATTGCTCCAGGGTCCGTCGGGCCATCCGCCCGTCTGCCGGGGCCACTGGCCGAGAACCTGCGCAACCAGTATCTTATCAAGGACAACGCCACCAATATCTACAATGACCGTTGTGCGACCCATCCCGGGCATGGTTGGACTGGGTCCAGACAATTCGCGGGCCCAAACTGTCAGTGCCCCCGCCCGTGGGGGTAGCCTCAAGTGTTAGATAACTGTTCGACACAAAAATGTGCACATCTGAGGTGTCAGAACAAAGTCCCGAGCCTTTTGGGACTGTGTCCCGAAAGCCCTCGGAGAAGCAAGCATAGACGAGGCATCCGGCGACGCTGTCGCTGGTGCCGATGCAGAGGGGTGTATGGGGGCTGTGTTCTCACCCTCCGAGGTGATGCAATGTCGGGCGTGACGACGTGGGCGCCATCGATCCGAGGCACCGCGCTTCGGGGCCCGACCTTTCGCGTCATCTACTCAAACGTGCCAGCCGGGCAGGGCGGGGTCCCGATGCGCACTTCTCCAGACGATGATGCGCTTGGCGGTGCTCAGCGCAATAACCGCGCGACGTACGAAGAGCATTCCCGTGGCTGTGTCGCGGGATGCTCCGAGTATCATGGGCAATGCAGTGTTACGACAGAGGCAGTCGCCCAATGCGCTGACGAGTGGGAACGCATCAGGGGAAACATCTTCGGCGATTCGTGCAATGCCGCTTGGGGATGCCTGGCCTCCAACACCTCTACGATATGTGGAGGGGGCTGCACTTCGGATGGAAGGCCATCGGAATTGGCGCGTTCGCCATCGCAAGCTGCTTCGCATGCGTTGGCGCAGGTGGCGGTAGCGGCAATGTGGGCCACCTCCGCACCTGGGGTCCCGAACTCCAGGCTCGCGTGCCTTTCTAGAAATGGGTGCGCGAGGTGATGATTTGGTCAGTGGCGAACTCAGACCCAAATGAGTGCCTCCAGGCGGCCTGTGTCTCGTCGCGACTTGCCGGCATGGCGCGCGAGTGCGCGGACGAATGGTCGCCGGCTGTCTTGTTCCAGGGAGGTCTCGCCAATGGAAATTCAGTGCCGCCGATGACATTCCTAATGCGCAGCTTGGCCGAACGATGGGGCCAGCTGGGTGAGGAGGAGCGCGCTTCGGCACTATCGGCTCTGATGAATTTCGACCGACTGCCGCAAGAGCGCGTCGACAAGTTCCTGTCGAGGTTCGACATCCCCCGCAACGGGGCGCAGCAAGCTGGTCAATTCATCATCGATTACGAAGGATTCAGCTTCCTCCTGCTGCGAGGCGTTGGCGTGTCGAACGCTCAATTCACCATGCTCCGACAGCACTGCCACGTGGCCTGCCCCGCGAACGCTCAGCAGTTCACCCGTGTGACGAGCCAGCTGAAGCGCGCTGGGCACGTGATAGAGGGGTCGCCAGACAACCTCGCCTCGGTGGTCCCCTCTGCTCAGCGGCGCGCGTTCCTTCGGGCGCGCCCGCGCAGGAGTCCTTCTCCACCTCCTCCTCCTCCTCCTCCTCCTCCTCCTCCTCCTCCTCCCCTTCTTCGGAGGATTGCGCCGCATCGCGGACGCATCGTCGATGCATCCGCGATGTATCGGCGATGCATCGGCGACGTCGGCGAGGCATCAGCGCCGTCGGCCTGGAGAGCATCAGGCTCCACACCGAACCGCATTGGTGATGCATCGTTGATGCGGCGCGATCGTCTGACCCCATCTACTCGGACCCCATCTGGGAGGGAGGTCTAGACCAATCCTTCCGTGACACGTTCGCGTCGCGAAGAAATCACGACATGGCCCTCCGATCTAGGCGCCGCAACTTTTTCACGACGGTTGTTTTCGCCGGTATTCGGGCCCCAGGACCATCACATATCGATCTGGTTAGAAACTTGCAGCAGAAAGATAGGTTGTTTGGCTTTGGTCGTCAGTTTTTGCTATGTTGAACGTTGAATTTCAGGGGGGGGAAGCTTTTTGGCAGTGTTCGCCCTCTGGGGCCTTCGCCGTGCCCCAGGACCATCCACAAACGACCCTGGATGAGCAAGCGTGACCGGGGAATTGGTCGGAACTTTGAGGGCCTTGTTTAGGAAAAATCAGGACGTCGCATGTCTGGGCTGAGATCCTGGCGTCGCACTTGTTTCCCAATGGAGCCACTTTTTGCCTCGTTTCGGGTCCCAACGCCAGCGCAACTCGATCCGGCTTGAAAATTGCCGCCGAAAGATGGTGTCTAGGGTTCTGGTCGTGAGTTTTGACGATGTTTCATTTTTTCCGCGACATAGGATCTCAGGGAACCTATCCCGAACCCCACTGGGCCATGGCATTTCAGCCCCACCAGCCCACCCTCCTAAGTATGTGGGGATCTTATGTGCAGCTGTGTGACGCGCACATGCGCGTGGAAGGGAGCTGGTGAGAGCGGCTGTACTCTCACCCCGTGCTCTTCCAGACACTTGCCAGCATGCTAGGAAACCTTTGACTAATTGAGATTTCATTGTGCACATGCACGCGCAGCGTGTCTGTGCACCTCGCACGCCCACACCCGTCTGGGGCGGCCTCGCTGGTGGATTGACGGTGGATCTCGACGTTCTGCGCTTCTAAGCTAGAGAACACCCTCGCGCACGGGGTGGCCGTCGCCAAACCGAAGGAACAGGGAAAGGCATACATCCCCACCTAGGTGGGGATACGTCGGCCAGTGGGGCCAGGGCCACGCCAGTGGGGAGCGGGATCGGGCAAGCGATGCTCAGGGGGAGGGGCGGCGCCGCTGGAGTTCGACGTGGCCATCGAGGTGAGCGCCGTAGGACAAACAAGTCACTAGACATCCAGCGTCTTGCGCAAAACCAAGATGCAGTTTTGTTATTCGTTTTCGGCATCTGAGAGCCCTCGCTGGGCCCCGGGAGTGTCAGAAACCGACTCTTGATGACAAGCGGGCCCTGCAGGAAAAGGGTCGGGGCTTCCTGGGACCCCGTGCTGAACGAAATCAAGACATCAGATGTCTGAATCCTCATGGAAATGCGTCCTGAGGTTATTCCCCGCTTTCTGGCTCCCGAAGCACATCCCTATCCCTATGACTGGCATCTCCTTCTCTCGGTGCCGATCTCAAGGATCCCTTCAGTTCCGGGAGGCACATCCTAAGATTGTCATCGCCTTGTCGATCTTGGGAATAAGGATAAGCTGGAGGCTGGTTACCTGCTCCACGCCCAGAGGTGAGTGGATCTCCTGCGGCACTGGCGGACGCCGTGCGGGTCACCTCGGGCGAAGGGCGTATCCGGGCTTCTGATGCGTACGGTCGGACCGAGACATGATATCGAGGTCGGCCCAGGGAGGGTAACCTCATGCCCGTGAGAATAAACACTAGGGGATAATAAAGTTCGGGGTTCAGGGAGAGATAATAAAAGTAGCCCAGCAGACCTCAGCATAATCTCGAAGTAAGAGATGATCAAGAGGAGACCAAGCCGAGCACGTTTTGAGACATCCTTGGCGTTTAGTTTTCATAGAAATATCCTCAACAATGGCTTATCTCTCATGACAATTGTTTTTTGTAAGTGCTCGTGTAGGGTAGCTCATGTGCCTCAATTTCCATGGATAATCAACCCCAGAGATAAAAAAGTTCAGGCGAGCGTGGGGACAGAGAGAAATATAAAAGAAGAATAATACAGTAGAATCATAATAAGAAAGAAGAAGAAGAGGATAATAAGAAGAGGACGAAGAAAGGACAAATCGAAAGTTCCAAATCTATCAATTTTAATTTACAAACGCTTTATGACAATTTATTTTTTTTAAGTGCTCGTGTAGGGTAGCTCATGTGCTTCATTTTCCATGGATAATCAACCCCAGGGATAAAAAAGTTCAGGCGAGCGTGAGGACAGATAGAAATATAAAAGAAGAAGAGGAAAGTAGAATAATAATAATAACATTGCTCCTTTCGTTTGAGTCTGCCTCCCAAAATTATTGGTTTCGCTTGACACATCCTGAAAAAGTGTGATCGCTTCGCTTGATGTTGCTATATCAACATCGCTTGATGTTGCTATCTCAACATAGCGTTTCGAGGTGATAATGAAGTTCGGCCTCAGCGCTCGCCGCCCAAATTGAATTTTGTATAGGGCGACGATAATCAACTCTAAACACTGAAGGGGGGGGGTCCCTTTATTATCATCGGCATGCGGTTACCCTGATCTTCTTCGGGTTTGTTGGATGCTCTTGTGCATCTGGCGGAGGGTTACCCTTTGACGTTCTCTATGTGGTCTGGCCAGCGGAAGGTCTTATGTTCTTGAAGGGTGTTCTTCTGCCCTAGGTCCGACCCTATGCCCTCGAGGTCTTGGCACTGGGGCGCGATCCCGTGGATCCGCGATCCCACGGGTGCGCTCCGTGCGAGGAGTCGTCCGCGCGAGGCCGGCGTGCATCCGCGGGATCTCTCGCGGCGGACGGGCCCACACCGCGAGGCTGCGGATGTGGATCTGTGGCAGGTTTCCAAGGGCTCCCTCGAGGGCGCGAAGGTGCTCGCGCTTCGGGCTTCGCGGTTCGGCTCCGATTCCTCCTCCTCATCTTCTCCCCTGGGGGGCGGCGCGAGGGCGTGAAGCTATTCGCGCTTCGCGCTTCGCGCAGCGCGAAGCGCGAAGTTCGGCGCCCTTGGTTTCTTGCCCTGCCCCTGCGGCTCCAGGCGTCGCTGGGGTGCTGGACACACCCGCTGGGGCTCACTGGGCTGTGGTAAGCCTGCGAGTCCTGGTCCCCAGTCGGTCTTTTGGAATCTGCCCTGCAGGGGTACGGGGGTGTCACGTGTGGCTGCTAGAAGACGGTGAAGGGAAGCAATCACCGCACACTCCCCCTCCCCCACGAACTCAGAGTTGGCACGCGCCGGGGAGACTGCGGTCGAAGTGCAATTCATCAGACCCACCGTCAGCTTTGAACATGGGGGAAGGGGGAGGGATTGACAGATGAATGCGGCATGCATGTTCGCTATTTTTTGCCCGAGGCCTGGATGTCATCATCGTCAGAGCCATCACCACCCACACCAGGACAGGGCCAGTTAGCTTTCCCAGCGCACCCCCTCGGGGGTGGAGATCGGCGCCGCGAGACCCGCAGAAGACGGCACGCGTCCCCCATCCGGGGGTGGGGTTCGGTCGTCCCGAGAGGCCAAGGTTTCCCCTGGTGTGAAGGGGAGTGTTCTACGTGTCCAGATCGTTCTCGAGGCCCCACAGATAGGGTCCAGGTCGACGCGCCGCCCCGGACAAGTGTGGGCGCGCGAGGTGTATAGGCACGCTGTGCATGCATGCGCACATACATATCACCGGTGCAGAGGTTGCTGCCGTGCCGGCAAGTGTCTGGAAGAGCACGGCGTGAGAGCGCAGCCGCTCTCGCCAGCTCCCCTCCACTGCTCATGTGCGCGCCGCACAGCTGAGTAATGACGGATGGGGTCCAAGTAGATGGTGTCGGAGGATCGCGCCGCATCAATGATGCATCTCCGATGCGGCTCGATGTGGAGCCCGATTTTCTCCACGTCGACGTCGTCGATGTATCGCCGACGTCGAAGATGCATCGCCGCTGCGTGATCCTCCAACCCCATCTACTCGGATCCCACGTTCGAGGCTTCTGATAATGGAGACACGTTTCCCGCCCGCGAGGTCACAACCAGGGGTGGCCGGGTCGTGGTTGGCTCTTTGTACGGGGAGCAGGGGGCGATGCTGCCGCTTGGCCTCCGCTTCCACCGCTCCGAGATGACGCTGGTGGCGTCGCAGGTCAGCAGGGTGGCGGCCCCTTTGTCTACCAGGTGGAGCAAAGGGCGACGCGCGGAGCTGGCCTGGGAGATGCTGAGGCTTCGGGGGTGCCAACTGTAGACCCCTGCACCGATCCTCGGTATCGTTAAACCCATCCCCGTCCCCCTCGGGCCACGGTATCTCAGCCCCACCGTCACACCGCCCCAGTTGGGGGTACACCCCTCGAAACCCGAACGGAACCGCCCAGATCCCCTGTCGTGGGGTAGACCGGCCAGTGGGGCCAAGGCCTCGCCAGTGGGGAGTGGGATCGGGTACACGATGCTCAGCTCCTTGCCGCCCTCACACTGGGCTCAGGATCGGCCAGTCTCGAGCTCGGCCCTGACCCTCAGATTGGCAGGCCCAAGCCGATGACAGCCTTCGGAATGTGCCCTCGGATGCGGGGGAGATCCAGGAGATCCGACTCCGAGTTGAGGTGATGCCAATCGCAGGGACAAGGAAGTGCTTCAGGCCAGGGGGGTCCCCGGGGGTCCCCGCAGGCCCCCAAAGGTCTCTCGACCGCAGAGGTGTACGCTTGGCGCCAAACCCGTGAGGGCGCTGCGGCCTGCCTCGTGGGTGCCGATGCGGGAGCAGGGAAGTGCGACACCACCACCGTGGCCGAGGGGCCGAAGGAGGGGTCCTCATAGTGGCGTGGTTCGAGGAGGAAGATGCGGCATAGTCATAAACTTTGGGAGCTCCGCGCGGATTTCTTGGGTCGGCGCCCGGGCCCCCTGGCGGCGCCTCCGGCGCCGACCCGAAAAATCCGCGCCGACCTCCAAACGTTCACGTTTATTCCGCTTGCTCCTCCTTTATCATGGTGGTGTGACGTCGCCGCTTTTCGGTGTCCCGCTCGATACACCTCCGATGTCCGGAACCTCCTCACTGGAGGTGGCCCGGGCTCTTACCACACCGGGGAGCAACGGTTTTCGAGCCGGATCGATCTGCGATAGTCTTGGGGCCCGAACCAGGGCAAACTCACCCGCTGTGAAATCGTTGCAACGCCAGGATCTCAGGGAACCTCGACCCTCGATGCTTCTCCTGGTTCGGGGAGGTGCCAACTATCTGTTTTACCGGTCCAGGCTAGGCCCACCCTCGGGCCCAGGATTTGCCCGACCACGGTCGGTGTGCTAATTATGACAGTTGGCGACCCCCCGTGGATCCTCCATCCGTTGGGTCTCCGAAGGTTCCCAGAGGTCCTTGGACGTTCCTGGAGCCTCTGTCGGTCGCCGGTGGTTTCTGGTGGTCTCTGGAGGCCTTTCGGGGCCCACCACGGTGCACAAACGTGCAGGAGCCCCGACCTCGGTGCTCGAAGCGCGATCCTCGATCCTCGTCCTCACGTTGGTGTCGCGTCTTGCCCTTTCTCCTCCTTCCTCCTCCTCCTCCTCACCCTCCTGCTCCTCCTCCTTGTCCTCTTCCTCCTCGCCGATCCTCGCACGTCGATCCTCGAACGTGAAGTCTCCTCACCCTGTTGATGTCGCTTCTGCTCCTCCTCATCCTCCTCGTCCTGGTCCTGGCCCTCCTCCTCCTCCGGGTCCTCCTCTTCCTCCTCTTCCTCCTCCTCCTCCTCCTCCTCCTCGATCCTCGCTTCCTCCCATGATCATCACACCACCACCATCATCGCAATCATCAGCATTGTCCGTAGCAGCATCAGCACTATCATCATAATCAGCCTCCTCTTTGCCGGCTGGCAATGGGCAGTTATCAAGCTCCGAGCTCCGAGCTCCTCGATCCTCGAATCCCTCCCGATCCCCCTCCCGGTGGTGCCGCCCGTCCTCCTCCTCCGACCCCCTGCGAAGCGACCACAGCTAGGCCATGCTAGATTTTGACGCTACCCGGCCTTAGTCGATGCGAAGTAGCCCCGACTCGGCCCGACAGCAACAGCTCGATCGATCGATCGATCCTCCTCCCCCCCCCTCCTTCTCCTCCTCCTCCTCCTCCTCCTCCTGCTCCTCCGCCTCCTCCTCCTCCTCCTTCGATCCCCCTTCGATCCCCCCACCTGGTGGCGGCGCTCCTCCCTCCTCCGGCCCATGGAGCGCCACCCAGTCGAGCAGGCCGCTGGGGTGTACGCCCGCCTCGCGGGCGGCAGCCCCCCCGCGCAGCTTCTGTTCACGTAGCCCGCCACGCTCGGCGGCTGGCCCGCCGGACCCCATCCAGGAGGCCTCTAGAAGCCGGTCAGGAGGTTTTTCACCGTTTTCAGGCTTTTGGGGCCCCTCCACGGGCCAGGCGATCGTCAGAAAACGACTTAGGATGAGATCTCGTCCTGGGGAAAGGCCCCAGTGTCCAGGACCCGTTTTCCCTAAGGACCCGTTGCCCCCGTGCTAGTCCTCCGCTTCCCCCCTTTTCCGGAGTTGCGAGGCTCGAGGAGCAGGAGCGACGTCGGCCCCGGGCAGGAGGCTGCAGAAGGCTCCTCGGACACTCGCGCCCTCGAGGCGGGGAGGGAGGGAGGGAGGGAGGAAGGCAGGACGGGAGGGAGGGAGGGAGGGAGGGAGGGAGGGAGGGATGGATGACGATGAGGAGGAGGAGGAGGAGGCGGAGGAGGAACGGGGGAACGAGGAGGGTGAGGAGGAGGAGGAGGGTGAGGAGGAGGAGGAGGGTGAGGAGGAGGAGGAGGAGGAAGAGGAGGCAGAGGAGGAGGAGGAGGAGGAGGAGGAGGAGGAGGAGGAGGAGGAGGAGGAGGAGGAGGAGTTTTCAACAACGACGGGGATATGTTCGGCATCTCTTGGTTTGTCCTGGGGTTCGGGTCCCAAGTCTGTGGAAAAGGTGGAAACTCATATAGAGGATCCAGTCAGCAGCAGGTTTTCCAGTTTTAGTTTGCGAGCTACACGAAGTGGAACGATCGTGCCAGGACGTATCTAGCTGCTGATCACATGAATGCTGTTATCCTCCACATGAGTTCTGAAACACATTTGCGAGGTGGACCTTCCTTCCAAGAGCAGAAGAAATTCTTGACGCTTCGCGTATCCCCTTTCTTCCAAGTGCAGAGAGATTCTTGGCGCCTGCTGCCGTTCCCCCGACACTCCGGGTCAGGCAGTCTAGGTTCGGACTCCGCGATTGCATCGACGTCAGTGCATTGTTCGATGGCTCAGGTCGGATCGCGCCCAGGAGTCCAAGTGAGTGAGGCTTATCCGGCCACCCCTCTTCTGCCCGCGCTTTCCCCGCTCTCTCGCCCTGTAGTGGTGAGCGGTGCGGCCTCACGTGCCCACTGTCCTGCCACTTGGCTGCTCGGCCCTAGCCTGTGCTCTCTGGACTGTACGGCTTGAGCTGGCGCCACTGTGCGACTTCTCCCCGTCTCCAGTCTGGTGCTTGCGTCCCCGTTCTCGGGTCGCTCGCATCTTAATGAGGGGCCTTTTGCTTCTTGCAGGTGCACTTGTTGCGTCGGCCTAGGCGCCTTCGTAACCAATTATCTCGCCTGTGCCCCAGACGTGCTTGCCCCGCTTCTTGGGCTCTTCCTTGGGGCCGCCAATCAAAAAAATATCCCCACCAGCCCATCCAAAAACGATGCCCAGGCGAATTGCGGTGATCAGGGAAGTGAGGGAGCATACAGAGTAGCAAAGGGCTGGGGGATCCGTCTCACCCAAGAGGGCGAGGATGGAGGAGGAGTCGGAGGAGGAGGATGAGGAGGAGGAGGAGGAGGAGGAGGATGAGGAGGAGGAGGAGGAGGAGGAGGAGGAGGAGGGGGAGGAGGGGCAGCAGGTGGGAAAAGTGGGAGGAGGGAGGAGGAGGGAGGGGGAATAGGCGGATGAGGAGGAGGGGGAGGAGGAGTATGAGGAGGGGGAGGAAGGGAAGAGGAAAGGAGGAGGAGAAGGAGGAGGAGGGGGAGGAGGAGGAAGAGGAGGAGGATGAGGCTGATAAAGTGGAGGAGACGGAGGAGGAGTAGGCCGACAAGGTGGAGGGGGAGGAGGAGGAGGAGGAGGAGGAGGAGAAACATGATAAGGAACAAGAACAATGACGTGCACAAGCTCCTCCTAGGATGTCCCTTGGAAGTTGTTTTGTGGTCCTCTTGGGGCGCCTGGGGGATTCTTGGATGCCTCGGGGATCCTCTTGGGGCCTCTTGGGGGCCTAGGGAGCCTCTTGAGGGCCTCTTGGGGGCCTCTTGGGGCCTCCTGGGCGCCTCTTGAGGCCCCCTTGAGGCGCTCTTGGGAGCCTTGGGAGCGCTCTTGGGGCCATCTTGGAGGTGTTCGATCAAAGGCAAGGGGTCCCCCAATTAGCGTCCCCCCTTCGGGAGCCTCTAACATCGCCTCTTGGACCCCTCTTGGGACGCTCTTGGGGCGCTCTTGGGCGCTCTTAGGGCCCCTCTTGGGGCCCTCTTGGGCCCTCTTGGAACCATTTTGAGGCCTCGAATGGCCATCGGAAGCGAAAAGGCGAGAAAGCAAAACACATTGGTTTTCCTTAGGTTTTGGAGCCATTTTGGCCTCTTGGGGGGCCTCCTTGGGAGTCTACGTGGCCAATTGGAGTCGTCTTGGGGCGGTCCTGGGGCCTTTTGGAGCATCCTCGGGGCCATCTTGAGGCGTCTTGGGCTGTCTTGAGCCATCTTGGAGGTCATCTTGGGCTCTCCGAGGCCCTCTGGGAGCCATCTGGGGCCATCTTGGACGCTCCCAACTACCAGCGAACCCCCCCGTCCAGGTCCAGGGGACGGGGTTCGGGGGAGGGGTAAACCCTTCCCCGTAGGGGAAGAAGGGGAGATGGCCTGAACCACCTACGCCCAGAGGGCCGGGGGGACTCAAGTAAACGGGCTGGAAGTTTACCTCCTCGCCAGCGGTTCCGACGACCAAAGCAGGCCAACTCGGGCACGGTATCGTCTGGGTCTGGGCCACGGCCAACATCCACTCCCAGGTTTTGTGCCCATGCACAGTCGGCCCTAATTGACAATATCAGTTTTTTGGCACCCAGTGGGTCGACAGGACGGTGGGGTTCGGCGACCTCGGCGTCGCTTTTGTGTTTGCGTGTTGGAACGACCTCGGGGGAGTTGTCAGCACCAACGGTCTAACCCTAGAACTCGCAGGGGTTCCTCACTGTCGCCAAACACTTCGTCGTCATGGCGGACTTGATCATGTCCCCGAACCAGCGTTGGGATTCGGGATGGCCAACATATGTACGTAGTGCAGTTCATGCTCCGCCAGGAGAGTGGACTAACCCGGGAGTTTCGGGAAACATCGTTGAATCAATCCAGGATGCTTTCTAACTTGGGTGACGGGGCAACTTCGGAACGTATAGCATCCTTGGTACGGCTTACTTGGATCATAAGGGTCCGCATTCTGGGAGTTCTAGTCGACTTGGATTTCTCTTGCGAACGCACCCCAGGGGCCTCCTGAGCTTTCAAATCCACCTTCCCACGTTTCCAGCAGGCCCATTCTGCCTTTCAAGACGGCTCAAGGAAGGCTCCAACGCGCCGAAGAGGCCCCAGGAGAAGCCACGATGGCACCCAGACGGCCCACGAGGCCGCCAAGACGCCCTAAGAAGCCTCCAAGAAGCCTCACAAGAGTGTCCCGAAAAGGCCAAATCCATGCCTTTTCATTTTTCCGCCTTTCCGACGTTCCAAGGCGGCCCAGCAGGCCTCCAAGACCGCCCCAAGACAGTCCAAGGGGCCCCTAAGAGAGCCTTAGGGCGGCCCACGAGAGCCCCACGACGGCCAAAGAGACGCCCAAGACAGCCCAATAAGGTTCCAAGGCGGCCCAAGGAGGAACCCAACACAAGGACCACGAGAGAACCACAGAGGCTCCCAAAAGGCGCCCAAGAGACCCCCAAAAGGCCCAAAGAGCCCCCCAAGAGACCCGAAAGAGGCCCCAAGGGGGGCCCAAACGGCCCCACGAAATCACAACACACATTCAACAGCCCTCTGTCGTCGTCGTCGTCGTCGTCGTTGTCGTCGTCGTCGTCGTCGTCGCCCTCCTATTCCTCCTCCTCCTCCTCCTCCTTCTTTTCCCCGTTATCCCCCGTCTTTTCCTCGTCGGTTGCCTCTCCTCCTCCTCCCCTTTTCCTCCTCCTGAGCGGCGGCGCGCGCGCGCGCGCCAGGCGCCCTCGAGCGGCGGCGCTCGCGCGCCAGGCTCTCTCGAGCGGCGGCGCGCGGGCTCCGAGCGCCCTCGAGCGTCGCCGCGAGCGCGTGGTCTACTCGTGTCTTGCCCGCCCCCCCCGCGAATATTTTTTTATCGCGTGCCCACATCATGTTGGTGCTCTCCTTGAAGCATAAGTAGTCGGTGGGTTTCAGGCCTGCGACCAATCTCCGCGAGCGTCTTGGGGCGCAGGAAGTCCGAAATCACCCTTCGGTCTTGCGAACTTGGCGGTGTCCATGTACAGCCACTGTCGATGGTTTCGTCTGGCGGGTTTTGTCGAGGGTTTTTTTTTTGGCTGGGCGTGGGATCGTGGCTGCGGGCAGTTTTGCCAATTCGGTGATTTGGTTATACGCCACTTGTGCCCTGGACAAGGTACAGCTCCCCAAGCTCATCTCCAAGTGTGCGTTGACTATTCGGGTCTGTCTGCCACGGGGTCAAGGGAGTATTTCCTAGCGTGCGCTTCCCTCCGACTGTCCGGGCGCTGTGTGGCGCATGTGGATATGGCGTTGGAGCGAGGGTATACGACGACCCTGGCAACATATGCCCAGTACTAGGATGCTCGGTGCCAAGCTCGGAGGACTCGCGGGGTCCTTTGTTGGCAACGCGGTCACTTTAAGCCTTAGGTGCGGGCTTTTGCTTTGGATGTTCGAGAAGGAGGAACACTATATCTGGTAAGGCCTGATCCAGGGATACCACGTTGAGCCCGCAATAGGTAGTCGATATACTCGCGAGGTGCTTGCTTCGGGATCGTTTCGCGAAGCTTGGGAAGCGGGGTTCTCGAGGGAGTCTCCTCCCTAAGCCCTTTGAGTCGATTTCGTGGAGTATGTCTTCGTGATCGGTCCTCATGACGGACCCGCGGCATTTGGTTTTTCCCTATGGGGCCAAGGTGCGTGTGTGGGATGTGCCGACATGGGCGGGGCGGGCGCAGAGGGGGCACGGGCCGCTGGGGCCTTCGGTGGAGCTCTTTGTGGGTTCCCTATGGGGCCACGCGGGGCGCGAAGGGCGTGCCGATATGGGGGGGCGGGCGCGTCCGGATTCCGACGCTGGGACTTTCGGCGGAGCTCCCT